GTGCAACCTGCTCCAAAGCCTAATTATAGTAAGAGTGAAATGTGTACTCATTAATAGCAGCTACATTACAGCTTAAGTTCTGATATTTGTCTAATTCAATGATACTTTAATGCAAAAACTTCTTTCATTCATGCTTCTCTCTGTTAATTTTTGTATAGATTGGAGGAGCTGAACTTGTCCTGGTGCGACTTCACAGCCACCCATGTCAAAGCAGCAGTCACTCATGTTACTTCGAAAATAACCCAATTAAACTTAAGTGGCTACAGACAGAATCTGCAGATATCAGGTAAAGAGCAGCATTTATCTTATTATGGGGGAAAAGATACATTGTGTTTTAAGTATTAGCTGATTTATTGAGCTACATGGCAGAACAGGTTTTTTCATTTTCTTCTGGCTGATATCTGCTGTGTGTAAGACAAATATGATACAGTAAAAGTGATCTTTTGCTTGTGATTTTCTTGCTATCATAGAATCTTACTCCTCCCCCATGAGGCAGAGAATTTGTTTATGAATTTAAGAATAGGTAGGTGAAAGCTTGTTTGTTCTTCAGTTGGAGGTGCTTATAAAGCAAGTCCTGCAAGCAGAATCCATTGGCTCAATGTGCCACGGTGGACTGTGGATCAGTCCTCTGGATATATGGGAGAGAGTTTAGTTCTCAGAGCCTTCTTGAATTAAGACTTCTGCTCTTATGGTTGCTCAGAGTATTCTGAAAGTGAACAGATGAAATAGCTACTGTTCTTTCAGCTTATCATGATGTCCTACAGAAAACATTTTTGTTATGAGTTAATTTGATAGTATGTAAACTGAAAAACCCAATAACCTTAACTTCAGCAATTAACATTAACCATTTGCTTGCTGCTTTTAGGAGTGTAAGTAGATAGAAGACATTATGTAATCAAAAATGTATACAAATCAAGCTGGGGAAAGAGCACAGCAAAAAATGGACAAAAGCACAGATAAAGGATGAGAGGGCTTTGGCAGTGAAATGAATTATCTCAACGAGCAAATGTGACAATAGGGCATCGAGTGACCAGCAGTGAAGCTTCTACATGTGTGTTTTGACCTCCCTTTGATCTCTTCAGATAGCACAAAGACCTCACTGTTTCCCCTTGCAGGGAAATACACCTTTCTGCTTGGCACCTCTGTCCCAAAACTGTACACAAACGTACTAGCTAATCTCCTCCTCCAAATTACTTGGCATCTTTGCCAAGGGCTCGGACCTTGTGTTGGTCTTGATCATTGAAGAGATTGTGTGGTCTTTTTTTGAAGTGTTTTGAAGGTATTTGAAGTGTTGAGAATTTCTGTTACAGAATTAGCTTTCATTGTAAGATACTTCAGGGCATCTCAGCACAACTTCGTCTAATAGATTGCAGTAGGAATATTTGAAATATTTGCTTGCTAAGTTTCTTATGCAACTGACTTCTGAGTACAGTTATTTGGGCTAACTCAATCTCTTTGGCTGAAGGATTAAAAAAAGTCCCTGTGTAGTATCTCAGTAGGTATACTCTGTCTTAAGTCTGCAATATGAATCTCTTTGTTGAAAAAAAATGGATTTCAGATATTGGATTCCAGTAGAGAAGCTATGATTGAATATAAATAGAACCGAGTGTTTCAAGCCCCATATAAACAATGTACAGAAAAATGTGCTGACTCTGTGCAACCTCTTTTCAGATGTTAAGACACTGGTGGAAAGATGTCCTTCTATTGTCCACTTAGATTTAAGGTAAGAGATCTTATGCAGCTAGTATTGAAACCTTGTGGTTCAGGGGATTTCTCTTTCTGCTGCTGAGCAGTAACTAGAGTAATAATACATAATAAGTAGGATTGCACAGTCACAAAACAGTTTCTCAGCTAAACCTACAGAAGATTTCCTGTTTTGCGTAAATTTTGGAAATACCAACTTTATTGCTACATTGCGATTAAAGTGCAACCTCTAATTTATGTGCTCTCATGTGCAGTGACAGCGTGATGTTGAAGCCTGAGTGCTTCCAGTATTTTCATCAGCTCATCTTCCTGCAGCATCTGTGTCTTAGCCGATGTTACCAGATATCGCCTGCTGCCTTGGTGTAAGTAACCTTGAAAAGGCTTCAGTTCACTGTGCATAGAAAAGGTACACTGAAAACAACCTACCTCATTTAGGCTTAAAAAATGCAAGTACTATTTTGAAAATCTTACTGGTGTGAGCAATTAGGGATAAAGGACAGGGATAAAATAACTTGACTATCAGAGCATGTCCCTTCCAGAATCCAGACTGGAAGCAAAGGTGGCTGAGATTTTCTGTGATGTGAGTTAATAGGCATGAAACTCACTGTTCACTCTATGTCATGTTTTCCCTTGGTGGCATTATACTACTGATATTTATTACTCTCATGTAGAGCTGGAGGTTCCAGTCCTGCCAGCGACCAGTATTAGTGTCGCTGTTATCCAACTTTGTATAGAGGTAATTCAGGCGAGAAGGTGTGAGCTTCTGGGGAAGCCTTCTTGGAAGCCTTCTTGGTCAAGGTCTCTGTCCTATTTCGGGTCTGCAAGTGCATGTCAAGTGTCAGGTTTTCACTTGACCACGAAGCCTGGAAGGATGCGGTTTTCCCACTCTTGGTTCAGGTGCTGATCTCTAAACACCAGCAGTATACTTGGGAACCAAGCTGAGTCATTAAAAACTCCTGTGTCATTAAAAAATCCTGTGAAGATTCCCCTATTCCCATAGGATTTTTTTGTTTAGACTTTTTACAGCAGGTGAGTGTGTCTTACAGAGCTCCTCCAGACTGCCTTGTGCTCTGTACTCCGTCCTGTATTCAGCATGGAGTAACCGTGTAGTGAAGAGGTTTAAGAATAATCGTTAGAAGGGATGTTTATAGTCATGGTTTTTTTAGTGTGCTTGTGTTTTTGGAAGTGGAGGGTGTTTCTTTCCTCTTTTTTTTTCTTGCATTTTTAATCATCCTGAGATCAAGGCAGGAAGACTGGAAAAGCTTATTGTGTCCTAATAGCTCTGTAAATATATTTTTACAGTGCTTTGAAAGAGGATTAGGTAACAGAGCTGAAGGAGTTATAAAACCAGATTATTTACTTGGTGGGACCAAGCTCCTGCAGCTTCTGGGGACTCTGGGCAAGGATGCCAGTATTACAAAAATGATGCAGGAGGAACAGTAATCCTTTTTTTTTTTTTTTTTTTTTTCCTTCCCCTCACCAAAAAGTAGGACTATCAAAATGACAATCTGAAGAACCTTTTGTGGGGCACACTGTCTTGGTGATCGTTTGTGTCCCATGCATCTTTGCCTTCTGATTTCAGCTCACAGTTGCTTATCCATTCATAGACAGTTCACGTGATTACTGGGCAAGCGTTAAGCAATGAAGAAGCCACAGCTGGCTACTTATCAAAATATCATGGCAAATTGACAAATTAGAGATTGACAGTCACCAGTGGCTTGGGTACTGTGGGTTGAAATTTAATCCACTTGTTCTAGACATTTACATCTGGGGAAATGAAAGAGGAAGAACCAGTTTTTTAATTGTGTGCAAGAAAGAGCAACAAGAAGTGTTCAACATCCTATTTAAATGACCATTAAATAGGACAGTACTTACACAGCTCTCATACTTTTTATTCTTCACTTTTCTATTTTGACAGAGAGGCTAAGCAATAACATGTATTTTCCTGATATCATGTAGTTACTTGCCTTGTTTTGAAAAAAACAGGTTAAGTGATTTAAGTTTAGTTTAATTTAGTTTAGCTGGGTATAATTACAAAAAAAAAAAAAAGACTTGCTGACTTACCACCTTTTTGTTATTGTTTCTAGAGAACTTGGTGAAATTTCTTCATTGAAGACTCTTCAGGTATTTGGAATAGTGACTGATAACTCCCTGCAGATTCTCAAGGAAACACTTCCTGACATGAGGATCAATTGTTCACACTTCACAGCCATCGCAAGACCAACTATTGGCAATAAAAAGAACCATGAAATTTGGGGCATCAAATGCAGATTGACATTGAGAAATTCTAGCAACTTATGATCATGTGTGATTGACTTGGATACTATGGACATGCTGGGTATAGTGAGGCTCTTTGAGAAGCCAGAGTCCTGGAGTACCTTTAATCTTTGGTCTTGTGCCTTAATGTAGTTTCTTAAATAGTTTTACTTTTTTTTTTTTTTTTTCCTTCACTTAAAGCCTTTAGAAATCTTATGAGCTGCGAGAAGTGTAGAGATTGTTTTTTTTAAAGCCCTTTCTAGGATAGCTTTTTAAGATATTTGTGAAACAATCATAAATTAAGCTGTGCCAATCTGGTGACTGTTGCAACTTCTGATACAGCAAACAGCTGTTAACATGTTTCTTTAACTCTTCCAACTCTCCTATCCCTAAGGGCTGGTGCTACTAGATACTTAATAAGGCTCCGTAGGGAACAGGCTTGGTCTAGGGTTGCAGAGCTCAAACTGAATGAGGATATTAAACCTATCCAAGTTCTCAAAAAGATGCACGGCTGTACGAGACACGACCTGCAGTTTGCGAGGCCAGAAGAGGCAGCAGAGGCTTCAGCTGCTGCTGAAGCCCCTGAAAGCAGCAGGAGAGAATGGGAAGGGAGCTTGCTACAAATGCAGCCCCGAGGCAGCTGAGCACTGTACGAGATAGCAGCAGTGTAAGGGAGCTGCAGGGCCAGCCTTCACAGGCTATAAAAATAACTTCTATGCTTAGTATTCCTGGTTGATAGCAAGGTGTAAACTGTAATAGCCACTGTCTACTTTCACTATGTTTATTAGAAATGGGTTTCAGTTGTTTCATGTACTCCTGCCAGATTTTGTTACTGAAACTTAAGGTAGTTTTTGTCTGAACTGGGAAGTGTTATCTCTTCTCAGATAAAACTTCATAGAAAAAATATATTTTCTCTAACGAGTAAGATCTTAACACTGATCAATGGAAAAAATCTTGGAGGAGGGGGTGCTAGTAGCATTCTAAATCTCAGACGAACACCAAAGCCATACCCAGGACTGCAGCATGAAAGAGCAAAGGAATGAAGAAATCCTATGGTGCTATTGAGGGATGCCACTTTTTTCTAATAGAGCAATTTAAGCTATCATCCCACTTACTGAATTTCTAATGGAAGCCGGCACTGTTTTTAGGTTTTGTTGTTGTTTTACCTTTTTCATTAAAGGGGCAGGCATGAAAATCTAAATAACTGCTTGAGAAACAAAATTTAAGGATAAAGGGACAGGCAATTCTACCAAATGAAACTTTGATCTAGCTCCGTCGCTGGTGCCTTTCTGCTTGACCTCAGTGCATTTCAGAAGGATTGGTTTCCTGGCACGAAACTTGCATCCTTCAACCACTGGTGCAAAATGAACACACTGTCTTCATTCCAATGAATGCATGAGGCAGGTGCTAAATTTATTCATGGATAGCTGAGGTGAACTACAGTGAGCATAAGATGGGTAGAGCTTGTACTCCTTACAAAAAAGGAGTTACGGGCAAATTCTCCTGTGAAAGTTGAAGTGGGGAAGCAGTAGGAATTTGAAGACTACTGGAGATTTTACTGCTTCATTTAGACTACTTACCAAGAGGAAAAACAAAAAACCAAACCCATACAGTTTGAGCTGGCAGCACAACACTGATATAAATTCTTCTCTTTCAACACAGTGTAATCACATCTCTTGCATTTAAATAAAGAAATACCTACAAAATTTATAGACTGTATCTGTAATGACTGAGGGGAGGGAGGATGTTCTAATGTGACACCATCTTTGGGGCATGTGTAGGAAAAAAAAAAAGGCAGTAAACGATGATGGCTTAGGCTTAACAATAAAGGGTGGAAAGGGTAAGATCACTACTACACTGCGCATTTAATAACTATGTCACTTAAAGATGTAACTGGGATAGTACTATGGCTTTTGTTTTTAACCTTTTCTTGAAATAAAAAACTAAATGGCAGCTGTATTGCAGGTTTATCAGTTATGGCAGTGGCTGTTGCAGACATAACACAAATCCACTGACTAAGCTGCAGTACTGACCTTTTTCTAACTGAAGAATTTGATATTGGGTAGTCCCTGGAAAAGAATAGTAAACTCTACCACACAGACAAATTAAATAAATCTCTGAATTTTATCTACAGAAAAAGAAAGCCTAAAGACATAGACACTATTATAGAAAAAAAATTCATTGCAAGTTAAAGGCAGCTGAATATACTATATATTTTCAAGTAAGGCACAAGACTATTTCAAACATCCATTATGCTTTAATTTTATTACATAATGTATAAACACCACTTAAAAAAGCCAACTGTGACAGGTTTATTTTAGCAGAACACAGAAGTATGGACTGGTACTAACCATAAGGTAGGAGAGAGACAGAATTGATTGCCAGACTAGATAGATTAAATCAGTGTTAAACAAATACTTGGTCATAGCACAAAACACTGTCTATCAGGTAAATTGTCTGCACTGTATTCCTTTATAATAAAGGATTCTTCAAAAGAATTTCATGGTTCTTTATTAAAAGCTACCCCTGCTTACTGATTATCTATTATAGATCTATGATCCACGCTAGTTATTTAAATCAAGCACTCACCTGTAAATGCTTCCACAGAAGTGCAATTAAATACAGACACAAAACCAGTAGAGGCCACTCATGAGTAGGTCGTGTTTCCATTTCACTACATAATGATTAGGCATTTAAGGATGAAGTTTCTTAGTAAACCCTTAAATCAGAGCATACTTGGGGTCTATAGGTCTTTGAAAAAAAAAAAAAAACTCTGCCATTTAGTCTCAGCATTAAGAATAAGGACTGACAGGTTTAAGAGGCTGACACCCTACTCAGTGTCCATTTAAACATTACAGCGCACACATGTCTGATTCTGTTCCCTACTTAACTTCTGTCATACATTTTAATCCACGAAGGTATTCAAAGACACTTTAAACACGTGAATATTTAATCCCAAATAAGCCTCTGATCTAACAGCTACTGGCAAAGCCCTAGGAAGTAATAAATTCATTTCACTGGCTTGTTTTTTTAAACAGCATATTGCCTAGTACACTGAACAGAGGCACATAAAGTATCATTGCTCTGGTTACAGATGGATTAGGAATAACTAATCCTCTAGTTTCTGTGCAACCCACTTTCTAAAGAAGGATTAGTCTTTCACATCTTTACTTTTAGAGTAGTTTTTAAAGATTACTTTAGATATAGAGAAGTGCTTTATTTGTAGTCTCCTGAATTTAAAATTTTCTAAAGAATACCAGGGTACTTTGATTTTCCCCTTCACATTTACAGTCCAGATAATTCAAGCTGCTATTGTAAATCACACTTCAAACACTAGCACACTTGGAAGATGAAATGTGCACAGAACAGGGATAGCTTATTGAAAAGGCTGTATCAGATTTTACTAGAATTCAGTGGTCTTGCCAAATTCTTCTGAACTCTGAAACAGAGTTAATTCTGGAGAAAAAATACAACTAGTGGAAGGGGAAGATCTGCTGTCCACTTTCTCCACCTGTGAAAAGGTCGGTTTACCTTTTTGTCACTGGCAATAAATACACTGGCCACACTGGACAATACTTCCATCAGACCTGACAGATCTTCTGATCTTCATCTGCCACAGAAGTCTCTTCTCAAGTATTTTGAGGAAATCTGCGCTTTGGAAACTGATCTGTAGTAAACAAAAGTTCTTTCAAGCCATGTACTTGAAGAGTTTGAGCTGTAAAAAACTGCTCAAATTCTGCCCTCTCCTCCTCTATGCACTGATCAGCATGATCAGTCAAAGTTCACAGTTTTTCTAAAAATGTTATTTAAAAGTCACTTTCCCCTTTTATAATCACAGAAGTTTTTTTTTTTTTTCCTGTATTAAAAACTTGTTTATCTAGCTGATACCCAATTAAAAGCAGATGAAGTTAGCTGTAACTTGCCACCAGTTGAACCTGGAGAATTCAGCGCGGGGTTGGGAAAGGAAGCACTTCCTGGGGTAGTTAAAAACTCAGACTAGGAAGACAGGGAAACACATAGGTGTCAACCTGCACTCCAGCCTCTAGTGCTTGGCATATCTCATTCTTCTGTCATGATAAAGCAGCTCAGAAGCCAAAATTCCAAACCACTTCATTTACTAAGGCCTTTTTTTAGTGATAGCTACCTACATAAACTACTGTGCCTGAACATCTGCAAACCAGTTACTCCACTCGGGGAAGGAACATACATTACTTAATACACTTTTGATACTTAATGTATTTCTGCTGAAGGTCTTAAGAACACATGTAGGTTTCAAGTCTCTTGCTATTCAAACAGCAAAGGTGAGAGCTAACTCATTCAGAATGTGAACAGAGCTCCTAGAAACTAAACCAGACTAAAGTTTTAATGTAAATCTATACCGTAGGAAAAAAAAATGGAAGAGCCAAAAGATCTGTCACAAGTTATATGAAAACTACAAAGTTGAAAAATTTTTGAAAAGCATATAAAAACTTCGTATTTCCTTTTTTGTTAGTTCACTATCAGAATGTACCAAAATCTATGCAACCTTGCATTAAGTCACTCAATCTTGACAGTCAGCTTCTCTACAAAAGTATTTGTATGACAGTGTTTAGTTTCATCAGTCCCAGACTGCTATTAAAAAAACTGTACATCTGAATATTTAATGCTACTGACTTAAAATTTGAACCCATCTACCTAAGTTTAAAAAGATGCTCTTTCACGTTTGCCTTATAGGTTAGAAGCTATAGTTGTAAGACTTCAGATACACTTTTTTTTACACCAGATGCAAAACAGCTTAAGTATCAGGTTTCTAAGATTTCCCCATCCCAAGGAACAAAAAGGGTCTCAAGCTTCTTTCAAATGCTCTTGCATCCAAAAAAGCTAACTTCCAACTTAATGCAGCAACATGACATGCTGTCTATCCCCAGGAGCTCCCTCTCTGGATCCAGAACTATTTCCACAGAAGACACATTAGGATCCTTCACTCTTCCAGCAGGACAGTGCACAGTGCATCCTCTGTATCAATCATAATTGAAACTATTGCCCCATCATTAAACTCAAAAGATGTTCCTCCATCTACAACCATACATGCATCCCAGCAGCGGGAACGGACACAGACTCTGGAGGGGAAAAAAAAAAAGAAAAAAAAAAAGAGTTCTCAGTGAATAGTGCAAGTCTTGAGCTAC